CGGCGGCCGCCACGCCGCCGGCCAGCAGGTCCTTCCCGAACGACACGGGGTCGAACAGCCGCTTTTCCTTTTTCTTGGCAGGCTCGCGCGTCATGGTGGAGCGGCAGACTAGACCCCAGCCCCGGCCGAAAACCCGGCCCTGAAAGAAGACCCAGCCGAGAGACAACCGCTTCGGCTTTATCCTGGCGGGAAAGCCGCGCGCAGGATGCCGGGAGGGCAGGCTCAGGCCGCGCTGGGGAGCTGCGCAGGCGCGCCCAACGGCCTCCTGCGGCCCACGTGACTCCCCACATGCCCGCAGCACGTGACTCCCGCTTCATTCCGAGAACTGCACACGTGGTCCAAGAGGCAGCGGGGTTCAACGTGAATTCACAGTGCCCGTGCAATATCGCACATTCGGCCCCTGGAAACCTGCGCTGCACGTTCAGTGCAGAAGCGAAGTGAGACGCGCCATGTCTCAGCGGCGGTCCTAATTCTGACCTCAWGGCGTCTCAGCAGTGTCTCCGTGACAGGGAGGGGTTCCTCCTRCCCCACTTTGAGAACTCATCTAGAAGCAGCTATCAGATTCCAGTGTGACCGCTGTGTACATCTGTCCTGCAGCCTACTTTCTTCCAACGGTCACTAAATATACCCTGAGATCCCTCCCTAGTAGCGTATATTCCTGATTGTTTTTTACAGCTTGTTTTCTTTTATTAAAGAGATTCCATCATACAATCTTTTGCTTTGTAGGACTTCTAGAATCTTACGACCTCTCTTACGTTGCCACCCTAAAAGGCCACTTAGGCCAGTGTGCCAGGCCAGAAATCTTAACATCTTGATTACATCACATAAACCAGCCCGAATCTCTACTGGTGCCGTATATTCGAAGCTGCTTCCTTTCCGTAGAGGCTTATTCAGCTCTTAACTGAGGTTTTTAATCTGAATCAATCTCTCCATTTTACATGCTGCTGCCAGGCTAATCCTTCTGAAGCATTTGCTTTCATCAGAATTCCTAGGCTTGTAACATTTGGGTTTCTCATTGCACTTGAACTTGACATCACAAAAAATTCTTTATGAGGTCCACTGAGAATTCCAGAAATGATAGGTTTTTAATCTGCAAAAATCTAAACATGAAATGAAAGGTTTCGATCTCCTTTCAGAGTTTTAAGCATTAATAAGCACATAACACGTAACTTAAGGCAGAGATTAGTTGAATTCACTTCAGGTAAAACTCTAAGGCTCCACGAGGAGACTTCTCTGGTCACGGGGAATGTGTGTGTCTCTGAGGACAGAAGGAAGTGTTCTGTTGCTTCCCAGGGAAGTTTTCTCTTCACTCTTCCCTCCCCGCCGCATTTGGCTTGATAGTTGACAACATTATCGTATACTCCTTTACACTATCTAAGCTGTGCATGTATAACACGACAAAAATTAAAGTACCTACTTAGAAATGTAGCTTTTTAACTGTAAGACATGCAAATCAACTCAACAGATTGGAGCTGAAAATGTTTAATTTGCTTCATTATATTTCATTTAGTGACTTTGAGAAGGGACATTGTGATTTATGTTAGTAAAAGTATATAGGTTCAGGGCCTTTACACTATTCACTCTTTTCTCCTTAGAAATGTGCATGCTTAAATTTTTTTTCTTCTGGTCTAAGATCACTTCAGCAACCCCTTCTCTGACCACCTGTTTGCCATACTTCATACCTCATTTTATTGCTTCCCTATTTTTTCTCTTAGCATTTGATAAAGTATCAACATATTTTTATATCCTTAGTTGGTGGTCACAACTACTGGAACACAAACTCCAACAGAGTAGGAATCTTTAGCTTCTTTGTTCACTGCTATATCATCAGTCTCTGGGACAGTGCTTGTCAGAGTGTAGAAATTCAATAAACAGTTGTTGGATGTATGTAGGAAAAGGCAACACAACTGCAAACAAACCTCCAAACCATTTTTATTTAAAACTATCAATATAAAAATAGTTGTGATTATATAGAATGTAGAAATAAAACTTCACAAAATTAAAGTATTTCATACAGTTTGTGTACAGGTTAAACTTTTAATAGCACTTAGAACTGTGTATTTTTAAATATCCAAAGTTTTAACAGTCCTTAAAACTGTTTATGATGAATAATTGTTCTCAGCTTCTTTCCAAGATGTTTTACAGTCACGGGTAAGACTTAGCTCACTCCATTGGTTTTCAACCAATGGATATTTGAGAGTAATCATAAACGGTGGTAGTAGCTGACACTTTAATAATACATAATGTATCCCAGTCGTTATTTAGAGAGAACTAACAAATACAATGAATAATGGTCAAAGCACACAAACCAGCAAAATCTGTTCCACAGCTTTTACAATTTGTATTAGAAACATGAAAAAAGCAGGTACTGCCAAATTACTATTTTGTCACTATGTATCATCATCTATAGTTCCTTGGCACAAACAAGAAACATTCCCTTGCCAGGTTTAGTTCTGTGACAGGACAAAAAGAAATAAGGAAGAGCTAAGGAAAAAGTGGAGGGAGAAACAGCAATGGGTAGAAAGAAAGCTAGAGAGTCTACAATGTAATTTTGTGTGTGGGGGGGGGGGGGGRCACTAACCAATAAGCAATATGACAGTACCGATATTTTTTTTTAAATATCAAGCAATAAGAGAGTACTTGATATTTCTAAAAATGCTAGTTATACGAACTCTAGATAGGGCAAAGGGGAGGGAGAGGAAGGAAGGGGGTATGGAGGTAGGAAAGATGGAATGAGATGGACATCATTACCCTAAGCATATATATGAAGATATCAATGGTGTGACTCTACTTTGTGTACAACCAGAAATATGAAAAATTGTGCTCTGTAAGTGTAATATGAATTGTAATGCATTCTGTCATACATAACAAATTAGAATAAAAATGCTAGTTTTAGTTTCTCACTTAATAATCTTTAATGAAAGGCAAGATCAGCAAGACACCCATAAAATATAACTTTAAGAAATTTTTGCTAAAGCATATTTCTGGAGTATCTGCACTGTCACTCTGTCCCCCTTTATTACCAAAAAATTAGATTGGTCTACCTTTGATGTAAATCTGAACATATCTGAAAAATGGGGAAGTTTACCTATAATGTTTAATTCATTTAGAAATGAAAAACAAGATAATGCTTGGTTTTATTTCTTAAAAGYTCAAGTCTCCACAACATGGCGATTACAGTGCCCCTACAACATAGCAGAGGGTTCCTCTTTTATTAAGATCAGTGGTCTATCATGCTAAGTGAAATACACCAATCCTAAATACCAAAGGTCGAATGTTCTGATGTGCTGATGCTAACTCACAATAGGCAGAGGGTGGGGAGCGGAGGTTCATCAGATTCAGAAGGGGTAATAAGGTGAATAGAGGGGGGACGGGAATGGGAAAGACAGTAGAATGAATCAGACATAACTTTCCTATGTTCATATATGAATTCATGATCAGTGTAACTCCACACCATGTACAACCACAAAAATGGGAAGTTATATACCATGTATGTCAAAATACACTCTACTGTCATATATAACTAAAAAAGAACAGCAACAAAAAAGACCAGCAGTCTGCTTTGCCTTTTTATTTCAGTTATTGAGTGATGCCTCATGATTGCTTGATACTAAGAAAGCATCAACAGACCAGAATTTCATTAAATGAAAGAAAGTTCCTTGTGTTAAAATATCAAGTCTTGGTGCAGTCTGTCAAAAACCTGAGGTGATTGATGGCTCTACTTATTAATAATTACCAGTATTAGAAACAGCTGATAGTTGGGGAGGACACATACAGAAACTTAAGCCATGTAATGACTATATTTAAATAAAGTGCCTTAATACACACATATGCACACAAACAGTCCTACAACAGAGTTTAAAAGTCTACCATGCAGCTCAGTATTGTGATCCTAAGGGGAAGACATTTAAAGCTATTTTTTACATTATTTCAAGAATTAAGATTTCTTACCTTGATTTGAATGTCAAAATCAAGGTCCCCAAGTACCTAATGAGATAAATATGCAGGGATTTGCATCTTAAATACTCAGATCAAAGTCTTTTAGACTGATGACAGATAACAGTATTTTTTTCTAAGATCAGTGACTTAAATGGTGCACCCACAATGTTCTGTAATTAGTTCCAAGCTGAAGTTCTCATGTTTGAGGCAGGTGATATGCAGAAATTGATTTTATATGGGCTGGTACAGCTCTTCCAACACTTAAGTCTTGAAGAAAAACAACCCAGWATTGTTAAGTTTTGGGGGCATCTGAGGTGGATGAAGGACCTACTTGGTACATGGTAATTACAAATGCAGTATTTGTCGTGTTCTTCCTTTCTTTCCCTTAACCTACCAAATTCTCATGCCAAAGAAAATTCTTAACCAATTAGTTTTCTTTTTCTTCTCTATGGAAGGTCAAATAAACTCTTATTCATCCAAGTGTTCCCCATCTGGAAAACCCAATATTTAATGATCCTTATTTGTAAGACAAATGTGAGCATTTTACAAAAGAAGTCACCATAGGATTTCTTCAGCTATTCTTTTCAGTATTTTTAACATAATTTGGTTTTAAAAACAATTTACAGATAACTGTCCTGAATTTCATAAACTATATAAAATATGTATATGTATATTTGAATGTCCTTAAAAATAAAAATGAATGTTTATAGGTAAATAATTTAAAAAATATATCTGAGTCAAAATAGACTAAGATTGTTATCTAAAAGAGTAAAGAAAATTAAATAAGTAAAAACTAAGTTTGATTTTCATCTTTCCCTTCTCCTCTGCAGTGAGGTATCCACTCAAATACTAGTGAAGAGCACTTGACCTATAAAGAAATCAGTGTTTGGACATTACAAATTTAGGTACTTACCAAAGGCAAGGGCAAGGGGAGGTAGCACATTTTACATAAAACCTCAGAATAGGTCATTGCATTTATACATGAAACCTCTGACCTCAGAGGTGCAAAAACTTGCATGAGGTCGCCGCCCTAATTAATTACAGAACCTGGTCACCTCCTCCTAAGTTCATGATTCTTTGACCAAATATACTAGTTTTGAGAAAAATAAACAACAAATTGGGTGTTTTCCCAAATAAACATTTTCTATATTAACTTTATATGAAACAATTTACATTATTTCAAACTAGTCAATAAATTAATATTATATACCAAAAATAGCAATAAGTTAACACTCCCTTCTATATATTTCAATCAACTATCTTCTCCAATGTCTCACAATACTACAAAAAGCTTGATGCATCGAGTCCAACAGCATTTCATCTCAATAACAATATTATGTTCAATGTTGAACAGTGAAAATGAACTAAACATTATCTCTTGTGTATTGATTTCAGCAATTTTAACACTGTTYCGCATGTCACTCACGTTGCTATTAATCATAAAAACACAACTACAAGGTTAATCCAAAGAATAATTTAAAAGCCATTTCAATGGCAATTTCTGTGACTGAGTCATGAAAGCAGACATAAAGTTCCTGAGGTTTTGGATGAAGAAAGAGTCTCCTGCAGAAGAAAAGAACACATTCATTTCAGAAATGAAAATGACAAAAAATAAATTCAATTCCTTTTATTTTTTGTATGTTTTTGAAAGAACTAGTAGKAAGTTCAAAAACCACTAATCTAAATCACAGACTATAGAGAGTTCATTTCTAAATAAATAACATGTGCCTTAGGTTAATTATTTTTATGGTTAAGAGTGTAAAAATCCTATTTTATCAATACATAAATATTATCATACCCTTCAATTTTAAAATATTAAACCTAGTCATTATTATTACTACAATACATAGCACTGGCATCAATAAAGTGCAGAAGTTATCTAAACATTTTATTGCCACTTTCTAAAGTTTATTCTTTTTTTTTTAAAGACAGAGTCAGAGAAGAGAGAATTTTTTTAATATTTAGTTTTCAGTTTTTCGGTGGACACAACATTTTTATTTTATTTTTATGTGGTGCTGAGGATCAAACCCAGCAACCCGAGCATGCCAGGCGAGCGAGTTACTATTTGAGCCACATCCCCAGCCCCTAAAGTTTATTCTTAAAACATGAACTATATGATGGTTCTTTTTGCAGACAGTATTGAATTGGAATTAACATTAAAATTTTGGTTTTCTTCAAGAGTTCATGTATTAATATATTTAAACAATATTAACACATGTAAATCAATCAATTTAAATTGAGAGCTAGTTCTGTTTGATTTCCTTAGGATTTTTCCTTTATGTAGATCTGCATCATCCTAATTCAGCCCCTTTAATTCTTTCTGTTCCCATGCTGTGGACATAGATAGGGAACCACTGGTCTTCTCATCAGTAGCCTCTCCTGAGTTCACACCATACAACAGGCTGCTCTTGTTGTTCTTCTAATAGCACAGCTCTGACCATACACTATGGTCAGAACGCAGAACTAACTTTATGCTGATGTTCTCAAGGCTGATGATTACACATCACAATCACAGGGGAGCTTATACACTAAAAACAGATTCCTCCTTCCATGAATTCAGTAGGTCGTGATGGGCCTCAGGCAACTCCGATTCTAACAAGTGACTCAGGTGATTCTAAATCCCAAGGACCAGAATATGGAAATGATACAGTTTGCAAACTGTTTATCATATAGCTTAGTACTACATGGCAGGTATCCAGTAGCCTCAATCCTACCGATGCCCTTTCCTCAACAACTCTTTTCTCCAACTTAACCTTCAATATGTCCATCAAAAATTCAGTTCCTTAGACAAGAAGCAAACAAGAAACAATAAAAGGGTCAGACAGTGAATAATGGGTAGCTAGCTACTTTAACGGAGAACCTCTGAGGAGATAACCTGCTGATCCTGGTCTGAATATCAAGGAGCCAGATAGGCAAGGGTCAGGGATAGAACATCCCCAGTAGAAAAAATAGCAGGAACAAGATTTGACAGGTGCTAGTGGGTAGAACATGTAAAAAAAGGAGTAGAAGAGGAAATGAAAGGAAAGAAAAGAAGGAAGTCAGGAAGGAAGGACAGAAATTGGAGAATAATAGTGGATTATTACCTGATTTGCAAGGCAACAAAAAAGAATTTTTAAGTAGAGAAAGTCTTTAGAGGGATTTAAAGGAGATTCTTAGCAAATAAAACTTTAAAATGTTAAAATATTATAGCTAGATTGATTTTTATGCCTATGTTTTAAAACACTGATCTGCTGTACTACTTGTCTTTCACTTTTCTAACATTTTATTTTACTTTCAAATAGCTTTTTCCTACTTACCCTACTACCCAGTAGGCCATAACTGGTGGTGTTTTTTTCTGATCAGTCCAATTTTCAGGTGAACATTCAAATAACACACCATATTCCTTCACAGGGTTAAGAGAGGACAGCGAATTTGTAGAATCAGCACGATCTCCACCATTCAGTGCCTTATTTTTCTGTAAATCATGGATATTGTTGGTATTAACTGGTATTAATAATGTTACTTTAAAATGTTTTCACCTCCAGATTCAAAATGGCTGATCCTAAGTGCATGCAATGCCTTTCTTCCCTTTGCCTTCGGTTTCCACTCTTCCTTAACACTTAGCTCAATACTACTTCCGAAAGGAGACTTCACAGGTAAAGTACCCCTGGTGATCCCAGAGAACACTCTGTTCACAGCCCCATGTTGTTTAGTATTTATATTATATTGCATTAGCAGTTTGTAGGTCTGTTTTCCCATATAGAAGATAGACGGTAAACTTTTTTCCAAAGGCAGAGACAATGTATTCATTTCTATATATTTAAAAAGAATCAGTGCTTGTACATAATGTAGGAGCTTACTGAATGTATATTAAGTGGATAAGATTTTGTAATAAACCTAAACACATACATTTAAAACAATATTTTCTCTTCCTTTGAAGCATAATCTCTAAATTTCCCATTTGTGAAAGCATCAGCAAAACAATTATTCATTTGGTACATATAAACTTTTTATAAGGCTCAGGATAAAATAGGTGATTCTTGATTCTTCTCTCATAACTTCTAATCCAACAATAAATCATTTTGGTTCATCCTCCAAAACATCAAGAATCCTGAAGTTGTGATCGTTTCTCACTTTTCGAATTTTAATAGTCTCCTAACTGGCCCTGCCTCCATCCTTGCTACCCTACAACCAGATTTCCAAGAGTCCCAGGGGTTCTTTAAACACCTGGGTATCCTGTCCTTCCTCTGCTGAAACTATGTAACAATGTTCCATCTGTTTCAGAAAAAGCCCGGAAGTCCATGTCATAGTCTTAGGCCCTGCTGCATTGGTAATCTCATTCCTTTCCACTCTTGGCCTGATCAGGAGGCTATGAGCTCCCCCAGCCCCTCCAACTCTGTAGCTTTGCATTTGGCTCCAGACGCCATGCGGCCACCCCAGCACTCCTTCCTGCCTCTGTTGAAATGCTACTTGACCTCATCAGTCAGGCCTTTTAAAATAGTAACACATCTCTTATCTCTACACATTTTATTATTCCTTGTGGCACTTAAAATACCCCATATATTATTTACTAATTTCTTCATCTTCTCCATCAGAAACTAGGCTTCAGGGAAGAGAGTTTGTTTTGTTCCCACTTTAACCAAGGCACCTAGTCTGGTGCAGAGTAGTATCTCACCATTTTAAATGACACCAGGAGGGCTGGGGACATAGCTCAGTTGGTAGAGTGCTTGCCTTGCATGCACAAAGCCCTGGGTTCAATCCCCAGCACCACCAAAAAAAAAAAAAAAAAAAAATCCTTAAATGATACCAGGAAGACTAATTTATATTACTAAATATTATCAAATAAGTTAATGTAATATTTTTGTTCAGAATCTAACCAGTTATGCTAAATAGGAAAGGAGGAGCATAAGAACCTACAGTACATGGGGTATTGTAAGCATAACATTTTTGCAGAATAAAAATTTCTGAGAACTCAAAGAAATCCCATAAGATACAGAATCTCATTGCTGAATGAGCCCACCCTGTATAGCTGAGGAAATGCAAACAGCTGAGGCTCACTCCAGGATTCCTTATTCCCAGCCTAATGTTCTAGTTTTAAATTTAAGTTCTGCACAAACCTGGCACCCTCACTTACATCTTGCTGTATACATTATAGCCATCTTCAGAGAAGTCTTTTGGCTGTATGATGTTCGATCAGTCACAAGTAAACTTTTGTATGATTATCCTTTTCAAGTAATTAACATGTAACTGATATTTTAAACAATCTAGCTGGTATTTTAATTACATACTGCACTGGTGCTTATCTAGCAGGAACAATATTATATGAAACTTCATCCTGGGTTAAAAAGCAAGCAAGTAATCAATGAACAAAGTGCTAAAACACCTGCAATAGTATTTTGTCCATAGCTATATCTTAATCCATTATGCTCCATATTGTTGGTTGAACAGTCACAGAATTATTAGAATTATTTTAGGAATCAATTGGTAGATATCATTGACTTAATGGCTGAGTCACAGATATCAAATATGGGAGGTTAATTTATATTACAAACTACTATATTCTACTTTGCTATAGAAAACATGGGTCCACTGTTTACCTAAAATACTAATATAGGACATTTAACTCTACTATAAAACAACATTTTGAGATTAACTAGAGTGAGTATAATCCTGAAATTGGTTGGCTGATTGTTAAAAACAAAACAAAACAAAACAAAAAAACCTTGAATGCATTGTTGGACATACTGATTACAGAGTGTGTGGAGATTGGGAATGATATTGGCAAAAAACTATATTTATAAACCTATTTTACCTCTTCCATCAAAGTCTGTTGGAAAATTGCACGAATGGAAAGACAACACTGATGGAAATTCTTTATTAGCTGTGAGTGGATAGAGCCACCGAGCTGTGCCACCTCTTCATGGGTAGGAGTAATGAAGATTCCTTGCACTGTTTCTAAGGCAACATAGTGGAAAAGTGTATTCTCAGGACCAGATGTCAATCTCAAAAAAGAAAAGGGTCGGGGAAGGGAAGATAGGGAGAAAAGAGAAAAGAAAAAAGAAATTCAAGTAAATTTAAAAGTATTATTTCATTCTGAATTCTGTAGACTTTGTGCAATTAGTAGTGCAATTCGGGAAGGAAATCTAATTTTAATCCCCTCTTCATCCTTAATTAAACAGGCTTGGATTATTATTAATTTCCTTGATAGAGGCAAACACTACCTATTATGCAAGAATAAACAAACACCAGTACATTTCCAAGTAACTTAATCGTCYCTTTGCTAAACACTCCAATTGGCCAAGCCCTCTTTTTCCATGGTTGGTAATGAATAACTCAGATGATGTCTGATCTAGATATCTACAAACCATGAACAAGGTGAACCACACATAAAAATACCTTCCATAAAACTAAACGGGTCTTTAAATTAGTCTTCTGCCATGATAATAAAAGTAATGATTCTGAACTGATATAAAATTATTACCAAAGTGCAAGCTAGATTAATCTATAATACTGTGGCAATAGCTGGTACTTTTATGCCACTTCTCAGTACACTCTTGCTCTATGTGATCTTAATATTTTCATTTTCATTTTCTTCCCCGATTTTTCCTTCCCTATTTAATCTTAGATAGGTTAGCAGAATCTATAAATATTGCTTATTTCTGCCAATAGTAAGAAAAGCTAAAGAAAAACAATAATAGCAACAACAAAATAATAATAGCTATCAAATACTGACTATCCTCTATGTACCTGCAAAACTTTTTGAAGCACTTTTATTTTAATTTTCATAATGACCCTGCAGGATCTTAAATATTACCGTCCTTACTTTAATCATGAGGAAACCATGGTCAGTGAGCTTGGATTAACTTGAATGAAGTTGCATAGCCAAGTGTCAGGGCTTAGCCGACTTTGAAGCTTTGCTCTCCTATACCTTATTTTTTATTCTCCACTGCTAACTCTTGACTGGCAGTCTTTATATGGTGGGCAACTCCCTCCTACATCTCAAATACTCAAGCTGACCATTCCAAGACTTTTGTGATAAAGGCTGTCTATACTAAAAAATTTACCTTTGTTTGATTGTTCTCCAGCTCTTAAGTACAGAGGCAGGGAAAAGGCATGTTTTAGAACCTAGGCCACATGCTAGTTAAGTTCCTGTTATATTTTTAATTAATTAGGTAGCATGACCTCTTGTCTCCTAAACCAGGGATTAGGAAACAGACCTATTGGGAGGGAGGGAATCCTGTGTGCATTGTTCTCCCGTTTCTCAGCAGGGTGGTTGGCTCATTAATAACTACCCTGTAAGGGCAGTTCTTACACCACGTCCATGACCTGCCCATATGTGAGGTAGGACAGAATTCTTAAAGGAGATGGAAGCAGTTGTGAGCCTGCAGACCACCAAGCTGATTCTTCTTATGGAGCATTCCAGGTACAGAGTGGTGATACCTTCACCTTCCAAGGAATAAAATCTTAAATAGTCATGATGAAAATAAGTATAGTGACTAAAAAAGGAAAATAATTTAAAACACATTTTAATCTAGAGGTGTCTGAATTGAAGAAAAGACACAGAAGACAAATTATTCTTAAGAAAGAACTATTAATAAGATTGGGAGGTTAGAATCAACATTTTTGTGATCTATAAATTTTCTCTCAAAAATAAATCACAACCACCACTTTGGAAAGCAGTTCAGAGATTCCTCAAAAATCTAAGGATGAAATCACCATATGACCCAGCTATCCCACTCCTTGGTATTTCCCCAAAAGATCTAAAAATCACTATAGTGATTTTTTTACAGCATCAATGTTTATAGCAGCATAATTCATAATAGCTAAATTATGGAATCAACCCAGATGCCGTCAATAGATTAAGAAATTATGATACACACACACAAAAAAAATGGAGTTCTACTTAGCCACTAACAAGAATGAAATCATGGCATTTGCCAGTAAATGGATGGAAATAGAGAACATCATACTAAGTGAAACTAGCCAAAATCAGAAACTCAAAGGTTGAATGTTTTCTCTCATACACAAAGCTAGAGTAAAATAAAGAAAAGTGGGAGGGAAGGATAATATAAAGAACCAATCAAATACAAATTCACAGGATAACAAAAAGAACCAATCAAATACAAATTAACAGATGGGTGAAAGGAAGTCTAGTAGAGTAGAGGAAGGAGAACGGGAAAGGGGAGGAGGGAAAGGAAAAGATAGGGTCATGAACTGAAATCCATTTACATGCACATGAGTTTGTTGGGATTAACCCAACTACTATGTATAACTACATAAAGCTCTAATCATAAAGAAATAATCCACAAAAATCAAGTTTAGCTCTTGAAAGCCATAAAGTTGTTCATATATTAACCGAAAGTTTAGAAATCACCAATTACCCAATAGGAAGACAAAGATTTGTATTAAAAAGTAGATAAATTCAGATTTGGTCTTTGGAAAGGTCATTCCTGCACTAGAGAACAGATTGAGAAATTTACAGAGAGAGAATAGACGGGGGAGGGGGGCTGGGGGCTGGGAGACTAAGGCAGTGACTCCAGGGAGAGAAAAAGGGACCATAAACCAGGAAGCATCAATGGGCTGAATGGATTCAAGTACTACTGAAATGCAGAACAGACAGCATTTGTTTGCTGAATGAAACATCTGGTATACATAGTATTTTTAATATATACTTTAATTTTATATCTTTGATGTCTTTTTAAATAGTAGAACCTATGATTTACATTACATGTGAATTTGTTTAAGCTACTGATCTTGAAAGAAGAGTTTCTATTTACTAAAGATAATGCTAAAATAACACAAATATTTTTTTAAAAATATATGGAAGTAATAAAATTTCAGTAGTTCTTGTTAGATGAACACTAGGGTTTTATGAAGGTACTTTAGGGTTCCATAAAAAGTTTGTTTCAGATTTAATTGTTTAAAAGACATTTTTATAACTATTAAAAATAAACATTCAAGGGCTGGGGTTGTGGCTCAGTGGTAGAGCACTCACCCAGCACACACGGGCACCGGGTTCAATCCTCAGCACCACGTAAAAATGAAATATAGATATTATATCCACCACCTACAACTAAAAAATAAATATTTCAAAAAAATCATTCATATGTGAAGGCCTTAAATACCCAATTTTAACACATTAGATTTCTAACAAATTATTTTATGAAGACAGATCACCCTGTTTTTGCCCTAACTTTTAGGGAAAAGCATTTCCTGGAAACTCCAAGATTTGAACTTGCTAACTTGTTAAAAATGTTTCCATGATTAAGAGCTGTGCACTCGTGTGTGTGTGTGTGTGTGTGTGTGTGTGTGTGTATATATGAGAGAGAGAGAGAGAGAGAGAGAGAGAGAGAGAGAATTCTATTTCTGAATGTCTAGATGCTTAAGCAAAAGTGTGCAATGGATCCCACACATGACATCATAATTATATACCAAGCAAGGCTCAGGCTGACCTGCCTGTCTATCACATAGTACCTGCCTTACAAGAAGTGAACATGTAACATTTCATTTTGCAATTACTGACACAGTTTAAGCTGCTAAACATTYCCTCTTCACTCAGTCCTTTTTATCTCAGAATTTCCTCCTCAAAATAAGTTCGAGGTTTTCTACAAAGGATGTTATAGAACAGTTCCCAGGTCCCAGCCTCTGAGAGGACACGCAGGGTGGGGGTGTGTACTCTTGGGGGTAGAGGGAGCAGAAGCAGGAATGAGAAGAGGGAGAAGCTGAAATGTGAAGCTTGGACGGACTCTCAGAGCTGTCTTGAATTTGCACAAGGACCAAACCTCTGCACTCCCTTATCTGGCAGACTTAGAAGGGGCTATTCTCTAGGGTAGGAACTTGGCCCTGAGACACTAGCAGCCACCACTCCAAGGTGTTGGCGGTGAGTGCCCAGAGCTAAGGGATAACTTGGCATCCACCAGAGTCTAAAATTAGTGAACTCAAAGGCCAAGATCAGTAGTGCATACTTGAATTTTCAGTGACTCTGGAGGCTGAGGCAGGAGGATCACAAGTTCAAGACCAGCCTCAGAAACTTAGGCCCTAGGGCTGGGGATATGGCTCAAGCGGTAGCGCGCTCGCCTGGCATGCGTGCGGCCCGGGTTCGATCCTCAGCACCACATACCAACAAAAATGTTGTGTCCRCCAAGAACTAAAAAATAAATATTAAAAATTAAAAAAAAAAAAAAAGAAAAAAAAGAAACTTAGGCCCTAAGCAACTGAGTGAGCTCAGTGGTTAAGTGCCCCTGGGTTCAATAACCAGTACAAATCAAATACAATATGAATAAATAAATAAAACTCTAATTTAAAAATAATATTAGGCATACGAAAGTGAAGTTACCTGTGAAAGAGAGATGAAGGGGGATTTTTCTGTTTTGAAATATTTGTGTTTTCCCTCTTATAATATGAATATGTTCATTTTCCTAAGTGTAATGAAACATTATAGTGCTGGGATTTGAACCCAGGGTTTGTGCATATGGGGCAAGCACTCTACCAACTGAGCTAAATCTCCAGCCCGAAATTGTATTTTCTTATTGTAAAACTTTCTCAAAGACAGAAAGCATAAGATAAAAAGTATATTAGAAGGAAGTTTCTTACTTCATTGTGTTATATATTTCCAATTCTTTTTCTGAAGGATCCTTTTTCAAATTTCCCAAATGAAATGGATTTGGAAGGGTAGACTTTTTTTTAGTGATCTGGAAAATATTTATGTAAATCAGTTTATATCTAAGAACAAAATCAAACAGCAGAAATGATTTAAAAATTAAAAATCCTTCTAAGAGAACTATTTTATATTTTGCAATGCTTCTTTTTAATATTTTTGATGCTAACTTCCACCTCTTGGCTTAGCCTTTGCAAAATAGGATCCAAGGGCTATGCCATAACTAGGCCATGCTGGTGTTCCTTCACCAGAGCCATCACCAAGCTTATGTGCATGCATACCCATCTCCCTCCCGAGGCTCTGCACTTCTCAAAGTCAGGGCTGTGTCTTACTCATTTTCATATCTCTTTTGTATAGCACAGCCCTTGGTACTTTGCAGGTATCAACATTTGTTGAATGGCTGAATCTTAAAGTTAACTGAATTTCTCTAAAGTGTCATTTATGACCTTGTTATTTTAAAATCTATCCATATTCTCTTGGACTATATTTCCTATCAATTTCATCAACTGAGATAATGGACACAAAATCAGTACTTCCTAAATACATTCCACTAACTTCTCCGACAGTACCCTGTAKTTAGGAGTGAGAAGCCTGAGTCGATGGTCATCTACGCCAGGCCACTCAGAATCTAGTATTCCACTGGCGCCAGTTCTCCCTCTTCTTCATGCCTTGACCAGCATCACCTCCACCCACCCAGATGGCAAGTTCAAACACGTTTCAAAAGAAAACAGCATCACTAGCTAAGTAGAGAGCTTTCCAGGAAGACTGTTTTGATAATAATTTGGATATTTCATGGTATTTTCATGGAAAAAAAATCCAGAAAAATAAATAACTTGAAAATTGAACATTCTCTTGGCTTTACAATCACATTGTATATCTCTATGTATAGAGACCAGATCTTTATACATACAGATAAAAAATACCTATCTATAAAAAACAGGCAAATATATACACACGTTTGAATTCTCTTTTTGTTTCTGCTGAATATTTTACAGCTATATTGTTAAATCAGCCCCTCAAATGCTCCATAGCCATGATGTGCTCTTTTATCATCACGAATAGAAAGAGATGAATATGGAAATCAAGATTCAAGAGCTCCTCTACCGGTAGGTACTGCTGGGTAGACACCCTGAACGTTGGGCAGCTCCTGTCATTACTTGATGTTCCTTCCTCTTTTTGCTTTTAAATCTTTGGTTACCCAACAATGACTAAAATAATCACTATTTCAAATGAAGACTAATTACCATTAAAAATTTTTCTTGCAATTATAAAATTAGAACTAGAGAGACAGCTTAGTTCCCAGAATATACACACTGGATGAACACGCACCTTAAGCAAGGTTCCACTTTCTTCTGAACAATCAGAGCCCGGAAAGTCTCTCTGCTTTTGTATTGCATCCAGTGTGGTGTGGGGGCTAAGGCCAGCACCTTCTCCACCTTCACAACCATTGTCAGATCCTCCACTGCTTCGGGAGGGACTGGGCTTACGTGTCTTTAAGGAATAGTCACCAAAAAGGGTTCTTCTGCATGTTGGAGAGGCTGCTGTCCTGGAAGGACCTTGCAGCCTGCTGAGAATAGGGGAAGCTGTCAAATTCTCAGTTTTCTCACGTGTTCCAGAAAGGAACCAGTCAGCACAAGACAAACAGGGGCCTGGAGAAGACGCTAGGTGCTCATCTATGTGGGAGTCTACTCCTTCCAGCTGGTGAAGAGTTGTTCTGACCTGGTCCACATATATACAGTCAGGCCCAGGATTCCCAATAGCTTTAGATGCACAGCCTCCAGCTTCTAATAGCACACATAACATATAATGTCTCTATAAAAGAAGATTATTGACATAGGTTTAGCCACCATGAGAACAGTTACATATAATATGTATACATTTATGAATACTATAAAAGATATTGGCATATGGCATGATTATGTGATGATTATTAAAAATTCTTCCTTCTTAAGCTATTGTCAACGCTGCTTCTTTTTTAATAAGAAGCCATATTTTTATAAAGCAGAGAGATTATCAATGCTTCTTGATTATAGTTAAAAACTATCTCACATTGTCTTTTTTTTTTTTTCCTGTACCAGGCACTGAACCCAGAGGCACTTAACACTGAGCTACATCCCCAACTCTTCTATTGTTTGAGACAGATTCTTGCTAAGTTGCTTAGGTCCTCACTAATGCTGCGGCTGGATTTGAACTTGCAATCCTCCTGCATTAGCCTTCCAAGCCGCTGGGATTACAGGCAAGCATCACTGCACCTGGCTTCACATTATCATATTTTGATATACTATCAATCATTTCTCTTGGTACAAAGAATTCACTAGAGCGGCTTTGAAAGAGCCCCAATGATGAGAAATTCTCTCATTTACGATTATGTATTTATTCCATTTATAATTCTACATTGTTTTTACGTCTTCTTCTATATTCCAAAACAGACCAAAAGATAAAACCCCCATAAGATGGGGAACAAAAGTATTCAGAACTGCTAAAATATTTTCCTGGATGTTATTAGTATTTCTTCATGAATATTAAAGGAATATAAACGAAAAGAAGTAAAGGCTATATAACAACTTTTTGAATTCTATGTTTAATACATACATAGTTTTAAATGGGYCTGTTTGTGTATTTATTTAGACATAAACAGATGGGGAAAACAATCTCAAGAAAGAAGTCCAGGTGAACTTACCAATCCAACAATTAGCAAAAAATATCTCCCTTCCGGTTCCTGAAAGGCTTCTGTGCTTGAGTCTGCAGAAAGCTGGAGGTGATGTTGAGGAAACACTTCTCTCCATACTATCAACTGACCAATCCTTTGTTTTGCTGCTAAAGACAGCAGGCCATAGTGGCGACAGTACGCGGCAATCTCAACAAGATCATCCTTAGGCAAATGACTGCATATCAAATAACCCTTGAATTTAACCACCAAGAGCAAAAGTCAGCTAGTGATACCAAGCAGTAATCCTATACTTCCTAGAGTTTTATAAGTGCTTCTTCAGATGACATGATATATTTTATTATTCAATATTTTATTATATTCAAACATAGTAAAGTAAGATATAGCATAAGTAAATGTTTTTCTCCCCTGAGGTCAAGCTAGATATTAAATAACAAGGTACCCAAAAGCTAGACTTTTAGCATAAAGCAAAATCACCTCTGAGGTATTAGCCTGAGTGTCAAAATTAGAAAAGAACTGTATTCTGAAAATGGGAAATAGAGAAGCAGAGGTCAAGGTGGACAGAAACTTATTAAATTCATCTGATACTTAATGTGTTCTCCCTGAAAACCAAATACTTAATAAATATTATAGGATTTCCTTAAGAGATACATGGTTACTTCTGAAGTCAGAATAAAAAACACTATTGCAAAAGGACATCAAGAAAGAATTAACCTTTTTTCCTACATAATCGGTTTGAGTATTGTTTCTCCTTTACACATTTTTAAATGCTACACTATGCAATGAAACTGTAAGTATTTATTATATTTATACATGTGTAGGTACAATACTTGTTTTAAGATTTTAACCTTAAGGTACCTACATTCACAGAGAAAGAGATAGATTTAGTTTTCATGTGTAAAAGTTTGAGAAAAATTCCTTTAGATTTGTGCATGCAGGCGTTGGATATTATTAAAAATGCAAACTTCAACTTACCTTGTAAAATAGAGAAGAGCCCAAAATTGTATATAGCCGTCTCATGTCATAGTAATCCTCAGACTGAGGGGAGAAAAATCACAGTGGATTTATATTGTGGCGTGTGTGTGTGTGTGTGTGTGTGTGTGAT